CGATAAGGATTCCTGAGAGGATGACGACTTTTTGTTATGAATATTTATCAAGATGATCTGTCGCTTTCTAAGAGGAATGAACATTGAAAATGGTACTGTGGGGTACGATTGTAGTCAAACGTTGCAAACCTTCGATTATAGCTGTCGGAAAAAGGCAGAATATTCCTCCGATATGTACGGGCTTCAGCAGTAAATAGAAGGGAAAATGGTATATTGAGATGAAATGGGTGAGCTTGAATAACACAATTACAAGGGAGAAAATGGGGAAATGATAACTGCATATTTATAGACAGCGACAGAATTGACACCAATTTCTTTTTTTGACGCACGAACTGCTTAGTTATGAAGACGTGCGTGACCTTTTAACATGCCACGTTTTAAAACCGACCGTCTTAAACCTTCTTAAGGGTGAGTAGCGTTATCTCTTCATGTCTCAAAGCAACTAATTTATAGTTTATGGTTTTCAAATTTCGCAGCTTGTATTATCATAACTTTTTAAGCAGCTCATCTCCTGTTAGCTTTTTTTTTTTTTTTTTTTTTTTTTTTTTTCATCCTTTTATTTAAGCCGGATAGATTAATTAACAATTAGATTTGTATACTAATTGATCATTTTATTATTAACTCAAACTAAATTCGCGAATAACAAATTTTAATTGAACACAAAATGCCCGATTTCGCACGAACTAATCCTGAACGACCTCGAATAAATGCGAACAGGACTTCGAATAAACCTGAACGCAGTACACTTATACAGCAAACGAAACGAAAAACAAACCTACACATTATCTTGCAAAACAAAAGACGCTACGTAATGAAAAAAACTACAATACGACGAAATGAATAGAAAAAAAAAAAAGATTATTTAACGTTAAATAAGCATGATCCATAGATTAAATGTTCTTTTGTCCGGTCATTACGTTACAGTACATAACTTCAATAGATGAGCTTACGCCCGAAAGACGGTATCATTTAACCGGTCAGTGTAAAACGTAGACTGCAGACTGCAGACTGCAGACCAGGGGTAGAATGCAGACTCGGTTCTTTAGTTGAAATTTATGGATATTTCTGGTTTCGCTGAATGATTAAACTTAAAAGGAACTTGAGATTTCTACTTGCTCTAATCTGTTCCTATTTAAGGAAGACTCCGCTATTTTTCCAGTGAATAAAAACACGTCACAACATAACTAAATTTCTTTAGCATCCCTTGTTGGCCGCAAGAGGCCCGACATAGGCTAAGTTAACCATTATAGCTGCAGATTTACCACGGGTTAATATTGAAGTGAAACACCGAGCGGAATAGGAAAGGCAAACACCTGAGCTGAAAATATTGTCTGGAGGTTTTGAATCAGACCCTTATCTCGCACCCACAAATTTGCATTTAATTTGAAGAATTTGCACGCCTAACTTCGCGGCGCAAAACAAAGGTACAAGAAATTGGTTTTTATTGTCCAAGTAATCGAAAATACCGATGTGAGACGAAAGTCTCCTTCAAAGCCAAACAAAGTATAGATGAGCTACACGTATGTTAAAGCTACCTAATGTTGCTAAGTAGAACTGTTTATTCCTTAACAAGGGAAATGTGTTTAGCCGGCTGTGAATTGCATATTCAAACACTTACGTTTCTTATCGTTCTTACCTTAACACAAAGTGTCAACGCCAAAACCGTCAATCGCCATGACGATTATTGACAACCTTTCACGACTTACGCGGCCTCCACCCCAGCTCACTCTTGAAGTTTTTCCGAGGAAGCGGGTTAATTTAGAACCCGAGTCTACATTTTACCCCTGGTCTGCAGTCTTTAGTCTGCATTTTATCCCCAGTCTGCAGTCTGCAGTTTGCAGTCTGCGTTTTACACTAACTGATTATTTAACTTTTTAGTAAAGTTTTATGGCAGTGCACAACGTATCTTGACCGAGTGTGGGATATCGATTAGTTTATCCAACAATTGTAAACCCCTTCAGTAAACGTGATTGTTTTAGGTAGTTTCCTGTTCATATACGTCATATTCTCCAAACAATTATAAAAGAGAATGTACAGCGCTCGACTCCGATAGTGCAATAGATACACAGCAAACTACTGCCGAGAACATTGTCTTGATAAACTTGATAGACTTTTCACTTCTCATTTTCTGTATTCAGAATGTTCGCATAGTCTGTTGGTGAATTTATCGTTGGCTTACAATAACTACAGAAGACCCCAAAGCGACATACCTACATAATGATGGTTATCTCCACTGAACTAAAAAAAATCAACATTCCCTTGAAGCCAGTCTTTCAATTACGAGAGCAAGGTCCCTTGCGTTACCCCAAATCAGTGGTTCACTCTTTGGTTTCTGTTCTGTATTTCTCTTCAATTACCATTATCGACCCTTTTTATTCCTTGACATCCCTTTAAGATATGCCAAGTAACAAAGAAGTATTTAAATTTATCTTATATTGAGAACTGTCCCCTTTTTCCCGAGGCTATTGTTTATTTTAGCAGACATTTCCGAGATCATGCAATCTCCCTTGGTGTGTTAGTAAATGATAGACTGGAGTGATATAATGGCACCAAACGCGGAAGAACGAAATATCAGGAGGCAGTATTTCGACCCAGAAGAGTCAGAAAATGGCCCGAGTTTTCTTGATTTCATCTTTAATGAATTAGATATGCCAGACGTTTGCCAGTTGTGATCGTGGTTTGAGCGCAGGTATGTTGGGGTCGATTCAATAATACATGACCCTAGGTACCTCCAGGAGAGTAAACAATCGTCGAGACCAGTATGTATTCAGTTTTTTTCATCACCGTCACCAATAACAGACAAGAGTACGGATTTTTCAAAAATTTCTTAAGTTTTTGTTGTAGTATTTTCTGAAACACAGAGACTAAATGCCCGACAGCCGGGCACGGTCTCGAATAGACTTAATGCCCAACAATTAAAATTTTCACGCAATTTCCGCCGAAAAGTTCTTTCAAACCTCTTAAGAATATAAAATGTTTGTTAAGGAATGCAAAGCGATTCCAAAACCTAATTTGTTTTTTTAGTGGTTAGATTCTCCGATTCTACAATATCGCTCGGTTGTCGACACTGAAATTCTACGCTTCTGATCAGACTACCGGGCACGGTCTCAAATGGACTAAATGCCCGGCAGTCAGAAATTTTTATCTTAAGAAGTTTGAAAGAACCTTTAGGTGGAAGTTGCGTGAAAGTTTTTGACTGCCGGGCATTTATATTTAGTTACTGCCTTTCTACAAAAATGAAATATCTTGCAGTTTTAAATTGTGCACAAGGCAATGATGACACACTTTGTCAAAAGGTTACTCTTCATCAAGATCAATGAGTCGTTACCAAAGACAACAAAGCATAATTATTAAAGATGAAACAAAAGTATCGTTAAAAAGCATTTAGTTAGTTTATAATTAGTAAGGCGGTTAGTTAGTCACTTTAGTATGACTTAATTTTTCGTTTATATTAAGAAAGTATTTAATGTGCGAATTCGAATTCCGAAGTTATTTACGTCTGAGCTGTCGTGATGAGCTTCCGAAGTGTAACCGCCTTGTCTAAGTTTCTTAAGTGGACGTGCCTACTTTGTCTACTCGTTTGACCTTGCGTTAATTAATTTGGACCTGACCCACACGTAACTCTTGTTTTGACTGGCATAGAGTAAAATAAAAAGTGGACCATTGGACCCTTGGGCTATTAGACTATTGGACTATATTTTGAACAATATTTTTAACCATTTTTTTGGCTTTTTTTTTTTCTTTTAGGACCATTTTATCGTGGGGAGGCAAATTATTAGTACTAAGGGAGAGGTGGGATGCAATCAATCAGTACTCAGGGAGGGGTGGTAGGCAGATTGTTGCTACTGAGGGAGGGGTGGAGGACGAACTATTAGTAACTGCTACTGATTAACGGAATTTTCATTGAGTCATACAAATTATTTTGAGAGGTTTTTCCGACAGTTTACTCAGTTGATCAAAAGCATTATGATTAAGTACTTTGTCGTTCAGATGGAAAGTCTCGTGAAATTGTTTGGTTAAGCGTTCTAACAACAAATATTTGATCTCCCAAGGTCAGCCAGCCGGCATGCCCACCCGTGTCGGTTAGTAGTAAATACATAAGTATGTTCTTTAGAATTTACTTAGATGAGAGTGGGGAGAAGAGAGTAGAGGGAAGAGAAGATTAGAGGAATGTTGACAATGTGCAGTAGAGTAGAGTCAGAATTCCGCAGTTGAAGAAGACGTATTCAGTGAGAATCAAAGTGTGAGAGCCACTTAGAGATTGACCAGAGTTACTCAGGATGTAAGTGAAATTGTGTACTGGAAAACCGAGTTATCAGAGAAAGCAGAAAAAGACAGTTCGAGAGTCTTGGTGCCTTTCGCCAGGCGTGGTGTGCTCGATAGCTAGTTTCCCCCGACATTTAGTAGTAACAGTACCAAAAAAATATACACGACTTATATTTGTGGTAATTTTTGTTTTCCTAAGGCTGATTTACTCTCTTCGGGAGTTTGAGAAAGTGAGTTTGCCTATGAGGCATAATATTTCATCCGCTGTTCTTAGGGATACTTCTTCCATTCTTCGTGGGGATGACTCAGCTAAGTGCCTACTTGTATCGTGGTTAAGAATTAGCATTTAGCCTCTCATTTTAGCGTAATCCAGCTTTCTTTGAGTTCATTTTTGTTGCTTTGGGTTCCGTACTAAGTTTTCTCGGAAATTCTCTTTTATGTTCGCGGATCAACCCTTTCTGGATTTGACGCCCCACATCTGTTAGTGCGGGTCTACCGCCAACAGCATGCATGTGCTTTTGTGTTAATTTCGAAGGTCAATGTCACCAAACGATTTAGCATGCACAATATAAGAATTGTAATCAGAGGTTCCTTTGAAGCGTTACAATGGACAGAAATGACGCACATGTGACAGCGCCATCTCAGAGGAGGGAGGTCTCTTGTATTGCTTCAAATGAAGCAATGCTTTAGTTTCTGTTTTGCGACTTTCTTAGCTTCCGGTTATAGACCAATATTGTATCTCAATATGCCTTATAAGGTATGCTGATTAGCATAGGCTTTTAACCTTATCAAGCTATTGTCCTCTTTCCGAGAAACATGTTTGTGATCGTTATAAGACGCCTCTGAGATTATATGCTCCCTCTTGACACGTTCGTAGACGAAAGAAACTCGAGTAATGGCTTCCAATACGAACGAACCAAATACCAAGAGGCAGCGTTTGGATCAAGAACAGGTAGAAGATAGTCGGTCATGTTTTACCACCATCACGCTCGACATGAAGCGATATAGCACGTGGGTTCGTACGCTTTCAGAAGATGAACTTGTCAGCATATTTGAGCTGGGAGTCAAAGTTAGAGAGTCATTTACCTTAAGCGTAAACGTTAACCAAGCGTTCCTAGAGGAGGCTCTGACCTCTCAGATGAAACCGATCCAAGAGAGCGTCTCCAACATCGAGACGGAGGTAACGAGGCAGGTAAAAACTGTGCAAGAGAACGTCAGCCGAGAGGTGAAAACACTCACAGAAGATTTGAAAGATTCCCTGACCAAAAGAGTTGATACCGTTGCTGAGAGGGTGCCGCCACTTAGCAGTTTGAACACCGCTATAACCCAGTCAGAGGGAAACATTAAGACCCAGATTGACAGCACGTTTAAGGAGATCAATAGCTCTGAGTCACGCGTATATGACGAGCTGAAAACGTGCAACGACAAACTAGATCAGATCTCCAAGAATTTGATGAAACCTGGGGTCAAAGGAGTTGTGGGGGAAATGACTGTGCTAAAAATTCTAAAACACCGCTTTCCCAGTTGGTCGGTGGTCGACGTCTCTTCAACTGGCTGGAAGATGTGCGATATTGTTGCTACAACACCATTAGACGACAAAATAATGATCGAGGTTAAGAATCAAACGACATCAGTTCCCTCTAACGAATGCAACAAGTTTGAAGAAAACCTGACGGCATCTCCTGACTATAAAGTCGGAATCCTGTTATCTTTAAAGAGTGGAATTTCTAATCATTCATCAGCCAGAGATTTTGAAGTAAAATTCCTGCAAACTAAAAATCAGTACCGGATCTACGTGCCAAATGCAATGCAAGAACCCGATGGAAATAGAGTGGTATGGAGCGTGCTCATGGCTGAGCAATTGGCACAAATACGAATGGAGTTAACAGGCGGTCAAGTAGAGGGGCTTGAGGAAATATGCGCTCAGTTCAAAAAGGACGTGGGGCGAGGAAAAGTTTGTGAAGAAAGTCTTAGGAGTTTGGAGAAGGCGATGGAGAAGTTAAAAGAAGACATGTCTCCGTTTTTCGAAACCGTGAGGAAGACAAAAGAAAGTTTACTCAAACTCTTGCATCCTGTTTCATAGTCAGTTACTAACACTTACCCAGCCTAGGGCAACTTGTCACAAGCTCGATGCTTTGATGTAACAGCGGGAGCAATAACAATTGAATTTGACCTTTTTTAAAGCACCTCATGGTTTAGTACTTAATTCAGCCTGTAATGTGGCATGCGACGGCATGTGCAGTTTGTCGCGTGTACGAAACTGCATTATGATATTCCTTTCATACAGTCTTTTTTGTACTCGAGAGCTAAAAAACTAGACAAGCGATTTATACTTAATGTAATTCATCAACAATTCATGCCACTTTGTGGTATCTTGGTATCTGTTTGATCGTAACATCTTAACTTTCCATTTGGAAAAATATGATCGGTACCAAAGCTGAGTGAGAGGCAGATTGTTTTCACCAGTTTAGCTGCACGTAGTCGACACAAACTTTAATCAAATATCACTTTGCTGAAACAGAGTATCTATATCGCGGAAACGATACTGTCTTAAGCGCTTTACAAATCAAGTTTTACTATAAGTTAATTATGGAACAGGAACTTCAAGAACACGAGCCTGCGGGTCACCAGCCGATGTATAATATATACAGATTATATAAAACGTTTTAACAACACTTCCTATGTAACAGTTTGTTTGAGTTATTATGATTGTAGACCTCAGTTCTTATGTCAAGCAATCGGATTACATTTTTAATGCAGTCAGATAACATGGCTTCGTAAATGTCCGAAATTTCATACCTGACGCATGCTAGCAGCAAAGTTCTTATAAGGGAGTCCGATTAAGTTTATAGTAATATCTAAAGCACTTTATTAGATATTTTCTAATGTTGTCAGTTTAATTGAGTGTGTTTTAATGCATTGTATTCTACAATAGAGGTGTGGTAATTGTGTCCACACTCGATAAACACAAACATGTCTACAGTTCAGTTATTTACGCGGCCAATGGTTGTTTAGTTCACCAGTATTTGCCAACAGTTGTCTGCAGTTGTCGCTAATTAATAGAGTTCAGAGTTGCGAAAAAAGACAACTACTGAGGTTTTGGTAACTTCTGTTAACGTGGGTCGTTCGTTCGGCTGCATTAACCCCTACGAGTCCTCCATGTCCTCACAGATATACTTTTTGGCAGACCTGGACATCAATCCCACCCATTACCTTCTTCAACATGTCTATTCAGGCGATTACCTGTTTGTTTCGGGGATAAATCACTAAGGGGTTTGAATGCTATCGGTAGCCCTCTTTCAATTTTAAAAATTGCTTTTGTGAAACAATCGTCAGCCTGTATCACACTACATGTCAACATAATTAAATTTTGCCATTTTTTTTCACCTCAAACAAAGTATTACTATTTTAACAACAGTTTCCAAAAAATTTTGTCGTAAAATATCGAGACGCACTCGAGTTATTTACAAAAACATTTTTCCGAACTGAATTCTTCGGATGTGAAGGGAAGTAAAGTTAAGTGTGAAAAGCCAATTATGATGTGTCATTTCAGTTAAACGTGTTCATCACAGTAGTTCGTGAAATTATGGGTAGAGACAAAAAGGGAAAGTATTTTTGGGTTGAAGCTAGAAAGAAGCCTAGCCGTAAGAGCCAGACATTGAAGGATTCGATGAAGAATGGAGGGGAAATCTCGCCGTAACGGACATGGACTCGTGGTATGAGCAATCTCCGCTACTTACCCTCGAGCAACCATCGACAAAAGTTCTGCCTCCTCGGGTTTAGTGAGAGTTGAACTTGACCGCGCCACCGAAACTTTCCGTTGCCTTGAATTTCTTCTTCTTGCGGGCATTCCGAATTGAACGAAGCTCTGTCACACAGCTGCAGGATAGTTTCCCACGAATCATGGTTTTGTCGAAAGTCTCCTGGGACTCTGCTTCTGTGTTTTTATTGGCGGTTTATGATCAACCAAAGGCGTGAGGTGTTAGCAAAACTTTGGAAGCAAAAAAACCACTCCATTTTTCCGCGAGTGTGTCTTCTTTGGACGAATGAATGAAACCTTTACGGAATGACTTGAAATTGGTCCGGAGGCTTCCAAAGATACCAATTTTAAAAAGCGTGTGGGGCTTTTCCGTTTTTCGAAATTCATCCCCCGCAATGGTATCCGACGTAACGTGTATTGGTAAAATTTTGATAACTAAACTTAACAGAAAGATTGCAAGACAGCCAATAGGAATATCGAAAAAGCAACACACAGATTTGAAGACCAAGCCCTTAAGATTGACACTGAGCAGAAGTTTTATTTGTGCGGTTCGATTTGATACCCAATTAATTCGCCCAACGAACAATCGTCCGTTTCGGATCGTGGCGCTTGAGTCATTTTACGATTAGATCAAGTTAAAACGAAATAGGGTAATAAATTATGATCAACCGAGTTGATAACGTAAATTGGCTACCGTAAAGAGTTTAAAAGCTGACATTTCGAGCGTTTCCCTTCGCTCGAGCGATTTGAGGAATTATGGGTTGTTTGTGGGTTTATATGCAGAAAATGGAGCTACGTTATCGGTAGAATATGGGGACGAGAAAACAAGAATAAATTAGTTGAATGAAAAGCGCTCGTGGGAGTTAAGAGTGCCGATACCGTGGGAGTTAAGAGTGCCGATTTAAAAAATAAATTTTTGTTGTAGCGTTTTGCGGCTTTCCTAACTGCCTTGATGAAGGGAAAAGCCGCAATGTGCCATATGCTGCTTAGAATGATTAGGGAGATTTAAGTGTTTAGCGACTGCTTTGGATGCGTCCTTGTCATTTCTTTCTACGTCGCGAAAGTGTTCTCTGAATCGGTCACCTAGTCGTCTTATGCAGTAGATGACACTGGCGGGGGTGCACGTGAAGTGATCGCAGTAAAACGAAATAGGTCTCTCTGGATAGTGTATTTCATAACCATTCCATATATATGTGTGTTTTTTTTCATGGAAATATTATGGTGGTTACGCTTTAAATAACGCGGTAATAATTTTATTAGCGAAGGACACCTGTGAAGGTCTACCGGATCCTTAAAAGAAAAAGATCATATAAGATATCTTACCTATCGTATAGTTAGAAAAAGTCTTATGCACTGACTCTTAGTTCGTGATAGTAATGTGATAGTGTTTTCATCATTATTGAACCTTTCCCAAGGCATCTGAGAAAGTTTCGAAAGCTTTCATTTCATAGTTTAGGAGTGAACTGAGACAGATAATGCCTAATTTTGTTTTCAGGTGTTTTAAGCCGTTTTATACAAGATTAAGCTGGCTCACACTTAATGTAGCATGGTTTCTAAATTAAGTTTTATTTTCAAGTGTTTAAAGCCGTTTTACATTATCAAGTCAGTTGATAAAACCAAATTATGTTATTATACTCCACCGCCGATGCAGCAGCACAGTTTCTTCAGAGAGTTGCCCCCCTTTGGTAGGGTCAGTCCAATTCAGTGTAGTTCATTTGGTCGTCCATCGGGTCGTCCATGGACTGGGAATCAGTGTCTTGTCCATCATTGTTACCAAATAAATTTTACTTTTCACCTGCTTCCTCAATTGCTAACTACTCCTGAGCACTTTATAATTATCCTTGATTGCTACTAACATGCACGTAAATCAGAATGAAACGGAGAGTACTGGAGTCGAAGCATCAGTAGATGTATCTCAGTTTTGTTTCGTTTGAATTCTGTCCACTGAGCTAGCCGCACGAAATGAAGGATTTAAAAGAACAAAGATCACAAAGGATATTAAACATATCGTATTAGTTACAAAGATCTTTCAGTCATACTGGTATCGAGACTGATAGCTCGTGATAATAGCGCAAGAATGGTTTCGTCACTATTGAACTTTTCTAAAGGCATGTGTGAAAGCTTTGAAAACTCTTTTTTTTTTTAAAAGATTCGGAGTGAACTGAATCAATGATGCCTAGTTTTGTTTTCAAGTGTTTAAAGCTGTTTTACAGAATCAAGTCAGTTGATAAAACCAAATCATCTTGTTATTACTCCTCTACCGATGCAGTAGCACAGTTTCTTTTGAAAGTTACCTCGTTTTTCTTCATTATTGAGGTCGAAACATCAGTTCATGTTTATCAGTCGTTTGCATTCCACCTACAGAACTAGTCACTCGCAATAACGGATTTAAAAGAACAAAGATCACACAGGATATCAAATATGACGTATAGGTACTAAAGATCGTATGCTCTGACTAGTAGCAAGTGATAATAACTTGACAATGTTTTTGTCACTATTGAACCTTTCTAACGGCATGTGATAAAGTTTCGAAACCTTTCATTTCATAGTTTCGGAGTGAACTGAGTCAAATAATGCCTGATTTTGTTTTCAAGTGTTCTAAGCCGTTTTATACAAGATTAAGCTGGCTACAAGGGAAAATCGCTTTTAATGTAGCATGGTTACTAAATTAAGTTCACCGCTCACTTGCTTTCAGTTTTTTTAGTCAGGCGCTTGCCTGGTGCCTGACTTAGAAACTACGCCAATTTTGAAACTCAAAATGCAAATTTGACTGAGGCATTTAAAACTCCACAGACTGGTATTAACAGCAAGTTGAAAATGGAAAAAAATCGAGTGAGGAAAATCAAATCAGATCTTGGCCGTAACTGCCCAGTTGGTCTCAGAGCAGTCCGAAAAATTCGCTGTCATGAATAGGATAAATCAGTGATGTATATGTATCTATGATGTCTAGTAGATAATAAAGTGAAGATATCCTGGGGATACAGGGGAATAACATTCAATAATTATCTGAATTGTCAAGAAGAACAAGGGGGATTGTTTTGGGAATTACATTTATTCTTGAGCTGGGCAAAATATGTCAGAATTGTACATTTGGTTTTCGGGGCATCCAGTTGTTTATCGTTCATTAGAAACAAACTCGACCTTGCTTTTGTCATGCCAAAGCTAGAAACCGCACCTTGAATATTTTCATGCAGTTTCTAAGTGGTTATGAATGAAATAAAGATGGTTCGATTGTAGGGCTTTCATCTGAAAGGCGCCATCATCTAGCACTGGTATGAAATTTCGGGACAGTGCACGGGATATTTCGACCAAGTGTGAGATATGGATTATTTGATTTTACTGTTGTGGCTTGTTTCAATGGCATAAAATTGCTTTCTTTAATCAGGTCATCGTTTTATTTTGTTCTCCTTACTATTTAGGAGAATGTAATACCCACCTTTCGAATGAAGAACAGACAAAGCAAACTATAGCCCAGGGCATTTTGATCTATATATGTATAAACAATATATACAAAAATTTCGAAGCGGTCATGACGAAAACGTAGTTCAAACAGTTCCGCGTACATGTAAGGAGATTGCGGTGTAGAGCTGTGACTAGGCCTTACCAAAAGCTCATTTCAACAAATGAAATAATAAGATGTTAGGAACTCACCTTTGATCCCTCCAGTTTTCTTTATAACAGCCGAGACAACACACTTCTATTAAACTTCACAGATGGATGGAAACTCCGCGCATATCAGCTGGTATAAAGGTGTTTGCAGTAAATTATTCCTACGTACAGGAAATCAAAATTTAGACACTGAATAACATGACCTATAAATAAAAAAAAATAGTTTTCTATAAACCAAAGACAGAATGATAATTGCAAGGATTCACCGGGAAAGTTTATCAAATGCTCTTAGCAGACTTTTGTAAGTAAATTCGTGTAGTTTTCATCGTAAAGATAAACGCGTAAATTTTACATCTTTGACATATTTACAAAGGCTGAACAGACGATAATAATTCTTGTCAATACTGCCAGGTTACTAGGTTACGGGGACTTTTGCCAAGAATCGAGATTCGTTTCTACAAAATAAAACGATGAATAGTGAATATTGCACTCTGAAGTTGTAGGAAAAAAAATACAATTTGTTTTTTGAAAATAATTTATGATAAATTCAGTTTTACACTGCATGATCATGATATGCTAAAGTAAAAACCCGCAGTCTAGCGTTTCTCTATTAAACACACGA